ATTTAGGGCTTTTAGAGTTTAGCGGGTTTAGGGTTTAGGGTTTAGGGTTTTGGGGTTTAGGGCTTTGGGGTTAGGCCTTGGGTGACTATCTGCTGGGCTGACTCTGATTGCAACCGGAGAGCAGAACGTAGCAAAGTCAACGTCAACGCTGTAATGCCAACAACAACTATACCAACAGCAACAAATAACACACTGTATAGTATGGCATACTCTTGATGATATAAATCCTGCAGTACCTGAAGGACCCTAGACCATGGAAATTCTGCTATATTCCTTATTCTGGGTACCGCAGAATTTATATCATCAACCGTAAGACTTATAAGACCCATCCTGAGTCAACCCAGGGACTAAGCCCTGCCCCTCTAACCACCGGAACGCTGGCTTGAGGCTGAGTTTTGCAACAGGACAGCAAGGTAGCTGGTAGTGGTAGTGGCAGTGGTAGTGGCAGTGGTAGTGGAAGTCGTAGTCGTAGCAGTCGTCGTCGTCGTCGTCGTCGTCGTCTTTGTTGCTGCTGTTGCTGTTGCTGTTGCTGCTGTTGCTGTTGTTGTTGTTGGTCAGCAAGACCTGACATAAAACCGATCTCTTCCCGTGAAATCAGCTGCATTGTGAGGGGGGGTTTAGACTTTTCGCTTCGCCTTGAAGCAACATACCGTGCTTGATACAATCTGATTGCAACCAATGGTGGTATCTGATGCTGTCATAGCGCAACAAACAAGTAATGCAGGGGCCTTTATAATCAGAATGGGGTTTTGGGGGGTTCCCTGCTATAACTATAGTGTAATGGGCCCCAAAACCCTATTCTAGCTATTAAGGCCCCTGCATTATCTGTTCCTGGCCTCGACCTCGAAGGGTCATATTAGCTATGCCCAAGGAAGTGGTGCCGCCTCGTCTTGGAAAGTCGGGCCGTAAATTGACCTGCCAAGTTCCCGTCAGAAGCAACTGGAAACCAAAACTGTAATGTAACCCTACTCTACGAGGAGAAGGAGTTCAAGCAAGCGTCCCTCGAAGAAATACTACTTAGAACACCCAAAAACTTAGAAAGTACTAAGATTCCTTGAAACTTACTACTTAGAACCCCCAAAACACTTAGAAAGTACTTACTGTCCCGACTTAAAGCCATGAGCCTTCTCTGCTTCTGCTTAAGGCCAATTTACCAAGCCGAAGGCTTGGTTGGGTTTAGGGTTTTCGGTTTTCGGGTTTAGGCTACCCCGGTTTAGGATTTGGGGTTTAGGGTTTAGGTTTCTAGGGGTTAGGGTTTAGGGGTCTAGGGTTTAGGGCTTAGGGTTTAGGGCTTAGGGTTTAGGGTTTAGGGTTTAGGGTTTAGAGTTTAGGGTTTAGGGGTCTAGGGCTTAGGGCTTAGGGTTTAGGGTTTAGGGCTTAGGGTTTGGGGCTTAGGGTTTAGGGTTTCGGGTTTAGGGTTTAGGGTTTAGGAGGCGTCAATACTGAAGGCGGCATTCCCTGATTCTACTAGCGTTGTCCGCGGCAAGCATTTTCGGAGTTTAGGGATTTAGGGGTTTAGGGATTTAGGGGTTTAGGGGTTTAGGATTTAGGGTCTTGAGGACCCCAAAAAGTGGACTAAAAGTGGGCAGGATGAAGGAACCCCTGTAATGAGGGATCCTACTCCGGGTTCCCCTCATATAAGTAAGGGCCTCACTTGATCAAGAGTTCGTAGAAAGTCTTGGGGTATGTTCTGGTATAGCTATAATAAGATACACCACCAAAACGACTGCGGCAGAAGGAAAGTTCGCCAGTCTTGAACACCGTGCAAAACCTGCTTCACTCGTAGACTCCTCCACCCGAGTCCCCTGTCCAGATTTTTAAAAAAATGTGCATCTGCGTTCAAAACGCAGACACCTAAGCTTTTCTCCCACCTCTAAAGCCCTTGGAAACAAGCCAGGGTGGCTCGCCACCACTGCCGTTCGAAGTGCTGGGATCGGGATCGCCTGTCTGCATCCTGGCATGATAAATGGAGGGCCTTGCGAATAGGAAGAGGTGTTGGGGAAATGAACCGTCTAATAAGTTTAACGAAGTTAATCAGTGTTTCATCCGGGCTTATCACACGATCTTTAATAGTGTTTTATGGTTTAAAAGGGCTTGATAAGAGTGGTAAAGGAGGTTCGAGAAGGGTTTTCGCACTTCCCCACTTGCGTTTGAGATGGAAACGGTTGCATGAGAAGCCTGCACCGGAAATTGCGCTAGACATCCCACAGGCTGTGAACCTTCAATCCTGCGTGCCGCATCTTGAACCCAAGACCCCTGTCCACAAAGCACCAACCTGCGACCCAAGAAAAATGACTTACCCATAGGCCCCTAAGTAGTTCCTTTTTATGGTTTATATTTAGAATCCTATAAGGTAATCCCAAAAAGGAACTATGGGCTCCACCAGAACAGTACAAGGATTATTCAAGACCGATCTTGTCGATTCCTGCTTGGAGGGTTCGTGGGTAGTTCTAAGTGGGGTCATAAGTAGGGAAACTATATGTAACTGTATTTTAAACCCGTCTTTAGGGGACTGATAACCCCACTTATACTTGTACGAGTAACTATGCACAAACCTCCAAGCGTTGCTTCGACATTGCACCGTGCAGGGCTGCACCTCTGATAAAGCGCCAAAGTGCGGCTTAAGACACTGCGAATGCTTATCACCTCTATACTATGTACGACTGTATGATTATATTATGCGATACCTTAAAACCCGACTCTACTTGTTAAGGCACCTATACTACAACTCTGATGAACACTGACGGAAGTTCCCGAAGCTTTATGGAAACGGTAGGCTACGTTGTGAATCCAGGTTCTGTGGCTGTTACAGAAACGCAATACCTCGTTCTCATAACACTCTGCGAAAATTCCAGAAAGCTTTATAGGGGTCATTCCAAATCACGGTTTCCACGTGCACGTCCCACTCGCTTTTTGTTTGGGTCTGGCTGTCCGAAACATCGCAATCACCGAACTTGGAGTATCGTTTCGACTGAAGTTTTGGATTTTGGATGCAGTGTAGACGGGTGCGGGGTTTGGGGGTGAGGCTACCGGCTTACAAAAGCCCATGACGCAAGTACGACTGAACGTCGTTCGACACGAAGAGCGTTTCAGGCTGCGCGATGAATCGGATGAGGTACGTACCTCGGCGTTCTTTCCCCCTTGAACGCAAAACCCGAACTAAACCGTAAATCCGAAACACAAAGTCCTAAACCCTAAACCCCTACACCCCAAGCCCGAAACCCAAAACCCTGAAGCCCCAAACCATGCCAGGCAGCGCATGAAGCCTTTTACGACTCGGTGGACGATGCAGCCGTCGTAGTACCTGGCGAGGAGTCCGTTGCTACTCTGGGCGTAGGGTTGATTCAGTGTTTAGGATTTCGAGCTTACTGTCTATTGCTTAGAATTTAGGGCTTGAAGCTTGAGGTCTAAGCTTAAGGCTGAGCACCTAGGATGTAGGGTTTAGGGTTTTAGGGTTTAGGGCGCTTGTTCTGGATTTAACAAACTTAGGGCGTCTTCTCAACTCCGAGGGAGAAAGCTCTGGACGTGCATCACTCCTTCTGCTTCCTCATACCACAAAGGGGAGTTTACGCTTTTGGGTTTAGGGAAATCCTACTTGGAGGTTCATGGGTAGTTATAAGTGGGGTTATAATTCCCCTAATTTGGGCTATAACTATAGTTACCCTACTTATAGCCCCAGGTATAACTACCCATGAACCTCCAAGTAACCTATTTACCCGAAAGCTAAACTAAACCGGTGGTGCAAAGCTGGAGGCTCGAGGATTGAAGATATGGATACCGGTGAAAGCCATCTTTGGCAGCCATGAACGGTTGTGGTTAAGCTGAAACATGTTGGGTCCGGGGATGCACCGGGTTTCGTCTCAAGTGCGATTGTACGGCTTTTATGTCTTCCGCTTGTGCTGAAACTGCTGGCAGGGCTACTGTACTACGAGTAATGTCATTGACGGATGTTGATGGCACCACCACTACCATCATCGTCGTACTCCTGCATGATTACAATGCGAACCATCGTCGTCATCATCATGATCATCACCATCATCCTCATCATCAGCATCATCAGCATCATCATTCTTACCCACCTCATCGTCACTGTCGTCATTAGCCTGGCCATCATCATCACTATCGTTATAATCATCATCATGATCATCATCGTCGTCGTCCTCATAGTCATCAACATTCCTGGTTTCAAGTCGCAACACATCGTCACCATGGTTTTGAACGTTTCTACAGCGTCAGCGCTACAATGCTACCACCGTCGTCATTCCCCTCATCATCATCACCAACCCCGGATCAACGAATAATATGCCACGAAGAGAACACCGACTCGTTTCTGTAGAAAAGACCCTTTCCGTTCAAAACATTGACTGCGATACAGCCCATGGGATGAAAGGCAGGAAAAAGGAACTAGAATTGGTAAAATGCAGGAAACGACTGATGGAGGCTAACAGGCTGCCATTCCACTAGGTAACCTGAGAAACAGAACACTCAGCTGGATGAAACTACCCATAGGCGGAAGCTGCGGCTACCGAAAGCCGACAGTCTCCACACCTAGCAGCTTATATAGGGGACTGAAGAATTACCAATACAGTTTGGAAACCCCTTACTGTAAGTCGAGTATAAGTATAATATACCCCAGAACCCTATTGTTTATTAAGGCCCCTATACCAAGCTGGTCAGGGTGGCGACACTGAAAGCGAGTCACATTTTCGATTTCAGCCGCAACGATGGCCATCCAACTGTTGGATCTGAACACTACACTCTGACGCCATCATAAATTAGGGTCCCTTTTTAGGGTTCCTTAAAGGGATCTATAAGGATTTCTATAATGGTTTGTGTAAGGGGACCATAAGGGTTCTATATAGGTAGTTATCTAAATTAGGGTTCCTTTTGGTGTCCTTTGTATAAGGGTGCCGTACTATATTCGGGACCTCAACTGGGACCCTAATTTAGAGAATTACTCTCATATGCACTCATGAGTGTCCGACATGGTAACATGAAGCTCACTGACACGCATTCATGTAGAGAGTAGTGTCCTGATCAATGCCATAGTCCCGACCTGTCATGCCTGGCTGCATGATCCGCCCTAGGCAAGAAAGGTAGAAAGAAGTCGATCTCCAGCCTGTCTGTCTTGAAATGTACCACTTCAGTACGGCCGTGTCTTCGTCTATGTTGACATTCATCACATGCATCTTGTTTTGTTTCTGGTCTCGGACGAACACTTGGACCTGCGTCGCACTCCACCGAGACATTCTTTCCAACAACACCTTGGTAGCTTCCTCCAGCCTCTGTTCCAAGCTGGTGACCTGGTCTTTCAATTCCGCCTTCTCTTTGGCAAGGTTATCTACCCGTGCGGTGGACAAGTTCAACTGCTCCACCAGCTTCCTAGATAGTTCCTGAAACCAAATGGCAAGTGCGTGTGCCTTTTCTGACTCTTCTTGGAACTTCTTGGCCTTTTTGTCAAGCTCGTCAGCCAGGTCAAGAGTCAGTTTCACCGGGCAGGCCGCTTGGTGAGCAGCACAGTCTTGCAACCGGTCTGTCCAGCCACAACCTGACATTCTGTAGTCGCACCTCACCTTCAGATCGTCAACCAGCGCTTGGATGGGCTGGCTTTGTCGCAGCTGTGTTGGATCAAGGGGTACCCTGCACAGAGGGCATTGCGACTGCCTGGTCACAGCCCGGCCAATGCACGAGGAGCAGAAGACATGCTGGCATTCCACTCCGCACACGGGATCGACAAAGACTTCCTGGCAGATCGCACAGCGCAATCCAGCAAGTATGGTGTGCGCTTCGGCGAGCTTGTCATCTGAAAGCCCCCTCTCTGGCTTGCCTGATAACACGCCTCAACAATCTCAGGAGCGCCAGCAATCTCAGAAAATCACATCCCTACTTGGAGGCTCATGGTACTTGGTAAGTACACCTATAAGTTCCTCAACTGGGCTTATCTACGGGGTTTAAAACGTTTAGGGCCGAGGATCTCTGCTGACATGCGACCTTGATTGAAGTTGACGGAAGCGGCTACGGTTTAGGGTATAGCGTTCAGGATTCCGGGTTCAGGGTGTTGGGTTTAGGGCTTGTTCAAGTGTTTCGGGCTGGACTGGGCTGGGCGTTGTTCATTTGTGCAAATCCTACTGCACAGTATAAAGAGCTAGGGCATAATTAGGGGTTTTAGGAGTTCAGGGATTCGGCGGTTACTCTCTCTTCCTTCGTCCTTGCGCCACAGATATTCCTGCCCTGCTATCATACAGTAATCCTCTGCCGCCTTGAGACAGTTGGTGTCCGGCCCCAGAGACCAAACCAAACAGAAAGATCCTACCTCCGGGCCGACTGGGGGGTATGAAGGCCACTATGCAGGAAAAGGTTTCGGGTTTGGGCTTCTACCACGTTGTGAACCCATCCCAAAACTAGCGAAGCTTGTGGGCAGCGATGCAGAGGGCCTGAAGCACGAACTTCTCATGCAACCCCCATACCACACAGCGCGAGTCACAACATGAGGGCTTTAAAGGGAACAGGGTTTAGGGTTTAGGGTTTAGGGTTCTGGGTTATATCGAAGTATACGTTATAACAAGGAACCCTACTCAAACAATGTGGGTAATTGTTCCTAGGTTGCCCAGTAGCCCCTCGATAATCAGGGTACCTTGTTTCCTACTATTCGGTTTTAATGAGAGAACCGGAAAAGAAAAAGGGCAAAAGGGTATTACTCAGCAGCCGAGGTTCCCACCCCTATGTCCTAACCCTAAACCCTAAACCCGCACCCCTATACTAACCTGAAGCTGCGCACTCCGCTCCCGAACCGGCGAAGCAGCCCCTTTAGCAACAGAACCAACCAAGAAAAGCTATTCAGGAAACTCACGGATTGAGTACACTTGGAGGTTCCTGGGTAGTTATACGCAGAGCATTACAGGGTAAGTATAATTACAAGCGACATTAGGGGAATCCTAACCCCACTTATGACTACCCATGAACCCCCAGTACAGTACCGGTGCAGCACTACCGTTCCTGCGGCTCTCGCTGGACAGACCATGACTCAAGTAGCTGCACTCGCAGAGGAAAAGTACGGCAGGCCCCTGACTTATTCGCCCCTTTCGGCAAAGGCTTCAATATCGGGATACCGATTATGATCATACATTGCGATACCTGTTCTGAATATATGTGCGGGATACAGATTATGGTTATATCTATGATACCCCTTAACAATAAGGGTACCCTTTATCCTACTATTCGGGCTTAAGGAGGGAACCGGAAAGCAAAAGTGCAAAAGGATACTACTCAGGTAGTGTTCCTCTGCTTTGTCTTCATGATGAAATCTATGATACCGATTATGCCTATAGTTATGATACGGATTATGGTCCTGTTTATGTTACCGACTATGACTATATGCAAAATCGTTCGTAATCAAGGGCCTGCGAGTGGTCAGGGTCTTGGGGTACCTAGGGAGCCCCAAGCCCCCCTTCGAAGCCTTTTGGACTTTTAACCCCTTTATTCAGGAATTGTGTACCTTAAATTATAGGGCTTAGGGTCCTTCTTTAAGGTCTATTCAGGAATATACCTGAAATTGTAGGGGCCTTAATATTGTGGTTCAAGGTACATTCCTTAATTAAAGGGTGCCAGGCTCTCTAGGTAGTTCGGGTTTCGGGTATAGGGCGTAGCGTTTAAGCTTAGGGCGGTTGCAATGGGCAGCCATGCTAATGTCCTAAACTGCCCAGAACACCCTAGGAGCATCTTAGCGGAAGCCCATAAAACAATGTTCAAGCCCCATTGCACGCCTGGCTCTCTTAACGCCTCCGACAACCCCAGGAAACCCGCTGAACCCTAAACCCTAAGCCCTGAACCCTAACCCTCCCAAAAGCCCTTCCGGTCGCACCCTGACTTGGCGAGCTCTAAGAAGTTTCGGCTGGTCAGAGGCCTCTGTGCAGGGCTTAGGATTTAGGGTTTAGGGTTAGGGCTTATGAAGGAACATGATATGGGTGTAGATCCCCCATGACTATATTCGCGTTGAGAGGGATCCTCAATAACAGAGCCCAAGATACCCCTCAGGCAAGGAATAACATATGGGCTTATGATAAGCCTCTCAATGAGGGAACGTACTTCGCGTTGTAGAAGGTTTTTGGATAAAACTGTGGATATATAGCCCCAATGGTTGGTCCCGGCCCTTCCCCTCACCCTGCGGTGTGGTGTGTTTCTGGGTTCTGGTTTGCTCCTGGGCTTTGACATTGTCATCCTGGTTGGTGTGGGGTGCTTCGGGCTTTGGGTGCGGCAACGAACGGGCGGGCATGGGCAAAGGGATACGGTTTGAGGGTATACTACAGTAGGGCATTCGGATTGAGGTTTACGATTGCGTAGATGGTTTGAAGTTTAGGGCCTTGGGATTCCCCTCGTAAGGTTTAGGGTTTAGGGCTTAGGGCTTAGGGTTTAGGTAACATAGGGATTCAGGTATGAAGGCACTTGAAGAGGAGGGGTCATGGGACTTAGCAATGGGCTCCATAAAGGGATCTATACGGCTTCTATAAGGGGTTTTTAGCGTTACTTGAAGGATCGTTGGGACTTAGTAACTGGGCAATTGAACAAGGTGCAGCAGCTACGCGTGTTATCACTTGAAGCCCCGAGTAAGGTACCCATAGCCACACTTACTACTCCGTTTGCACAGAGTCACCTACTGGAGCGCCTGGACTTGGCGGAAATCCTCAACTACTTCCTTCCCCTCATTCCCTAGACGCCCTATAAATCCTAAGCCATTAATCGCCTAAAGTTTAAATCCTGACTTCCCAATCCCTGTCCCCGAGAGGATATGGGCAACTTGGTGGCCACGAAGTGGGAGGGTTACGTGCGCCCCACGGACCAGGCCCTAAACCCTAAACCCTAAATCCTAAACCCTAAACCCTAAATCCTAAACCCTAAACTCTAAATCCTAAACCCTAAATCCTAAACCCAGCCCTGAAGGCTGAGTTTCCCAAAGGACCCTCCCGGAGCGATCTTTCACAAACCTTAAGACGCCCTCTGAAAGGTTTAGGTATGTTTTTCGGGTTTAGGGCTTAGGGTTTTAGGGTTTGGGGGAACTTTGTATAACATAATTAGGGGTCGGAATATCATCTGGGTTCCTTACCATAAGTACAAAAAGCCGCCCAAGCCCAGACCGCTACTCGAAATACCTAAACTCTAAGCCCCCTAGAGCCAAAAATCCCTAACAAACCTCTACGGCCCTAAAGCACTAAAAAAAACCCTAAAGCCCTAAATCCCCAACCCTAAACCCTAAACCCCAAAGCCCAGCCAAAAACACTCTAAAAGACCCCCTCTGAGATTCCGTGCGTCTTGGTGTAGTGCAGCCTGATCCGCAACGACCTCGTCGTGGAGCGAATCTATCTGCTTCGGGTTTAGAGTTTCGGGTTCACGATAGAGCGTTTAGGGTTTCGGGTTTAGGGTTTAGAGTTTCGGGTTCAGGGTAGAGTGTTTAGGGTTGAGGGTTTAGGGTTTGGGTTTCAGAGTAGAGTGTTTAGGGTTTAGGGAAGAGGGCTTAGAGTTTAGGGTAGAGTGTTTAGAAAACCTGGGAAAAATGAGCGCGGTGATATTTTGCAAGGGTCGTCTAGCAGGTGCAGAGTGGTCGGGAGGGGGGGGGAAGGCGAGGATACACTTCTATCAAGCTGGGCCCTAAACCCTAAATCCTGAACCCCTAAACACTCCTAAACCCTAAACCCTTTGAGGGAGTTGGGTTCAAATCTTCAGGAGTTCAGGTTGGAGCTTTACGGGATTAGGACCTCAATTCAGAAAACTCCCTTGTATCATAAGAACGAGCAGTTCGATAGTTGGGTTTAGGGTTTAGGGTCTAGGGTTTGGGGCTTTTGGTTTAGGGTTTTGGGTTAAGGAGAGTTGCCTCAATAAGGGATATTGGGCTCTCTGAGGTCTTAGTGAAACAAAACCCTTAACTACTTCTAGCCCCAACTAAAGTGTATATCTGCTGCTAAAACCTTCACACCTCCGTGAAGCCCCATTAAGACCTTATAGAACTTAAACACCATGTGACAGCCCGACTCACAGCCCCGTTCAACACGACCCATGAACCTTCATGTGGAGCTGTAGGTCATCGTCTTGGGTTTACGGATTCAAGACGTAGACACGAGTATTCGAGCTGTTCAAGTGGCTTGATGGACCCCGAAGTTAGGCCCTCATTGCCGGCCCTTGTGAGAAGCCTCCGTTTGCCCTGGCAGTGTTCTAAAATACCAGTCACCGGGTACGCTTTCTTTTTGCGGTAGGACTTACAAAATATCTTTTTCCGGAAGTGCATTCAATGTGTTCGCAACTACCCGTAACTACCCCCCCTGTATAGACTCCTTACAACCTCTTCCAAAAAATCCTTGCAACTGCCTGTAAAGTCATCACAAGATCCTTACAATGTATCTATTAAAACCCTTCCATTCCCAACGCCAGAAGCTCTAGGGGTACCATTTCCCATACTCTCATGCTTCCTTGAAGGGTTGGTTGAAGGGTTGACGGGTTCCTGTAGGTTGAAGAAGGATAAGAAGGCACATTGAAGGGAAACATTAAGGTCTCTATGAAGCTTTAGCATTTTGTACGAATGCCTTCAAGAGGGTACCGCAACTGATCTGCACATTCTTTCTCAGTGGACCTCTAACCCGCGTTTCCCTAAACCCCAAACCGTATAAGCCCCCAGCCCCAAGCCCCAAACCCAAAGTCCTGAGCCCCAAACCCTACACCGAAAGAGGGCAATCCAGATTACCAAGGCGTAGACCCCATGCTGGTCTCGATCCGGGCTGTCATGCTGCTGCCAGATCCTCAGCTCAGGGCTGTGGGGTTTGGGGTTCAGGCTTTCGGATTTAATGTAGGGGCCTTTATAAATAGAATATGGTTTTGGGGTCCATTATATTATAATTATCATCAGGACCCCCCAAAACCCCATTCTAACTATTAAGGCACCTACATTAGGGTTGAGGCTTTAGGATTCAAGTCTTAAGGCAAGTCCAAAAGCCATGAACCACTGAACAACGGAACCCTCCGAGACGCCGGAAAGGGGGGGAGGAGGCAGACTGTCCAAACTACGGTTGATGGTACAAATCCTGCATTACCCATAATTACCCATATTAGGGAATATTCCCTAATTCCCATAGTTTAGGGTCCTTAAAACATGCAGGATTTATATCATCAACAGTAGGCCTTAAGGCTTAGAGCTTAGGGCTAAACGCTTCTTTAGGGGTCTAGGGTTTAGGGTGGAGGGTTGAGGGTTTAGGGTCGAGGGTTTATCAATACGCATTCCACTACGTTTGGTTGGGAACACAAGTGCCGGAAGCAAACATTCTTCCGCGTGTTGCCGAAAGCTAGGCTCTTGAGATTTTCGCTTCCCCTAAGGGACAATAGGAGGGACCCCTTAGAAGGACCCCTAATCCTAATACCCTATATTAACCCTTATATACCCCTTACATAGTCTCATAAAGCCCCTATATAACCCCAAGGGTCCCTTTTACGGGTCTCTCCTTTAGTCCCTTGATTCCCAGCTTTGCGTCACGGCACTGCCACGCGGCCTGGTTGCCAGTACTCCCTTGCCCCAGGGTTTAGGGTTTAGGGTTTAGGGTCCTTCTCTGAGCCGCGACATGAAACAGCTGGCATCCATACTGTCTGGATAGGCATCCAGCACGCCATAGCCTTGAAGTATCATCGTAAAGGAAGCCTCAGAACAAATTTCTACCTGAACCCTTAAGGGAAGCCTCAAACCCTAAACCCTAAACCCTTAAGGGAAGCCTCAAACCCTAAACCCTAAACCCTTAAGGGAAGCCTCAAAGGAACCCTGAAAGAAAGGAACCCTTAGAGCTCGGGGCGGCTGTTTTTATTCCGGTCAGGGGCCCTACAAGGGAGAATTTTAGTGGGGCTTCCCCCGTTTTGGGTTTTGGGTTTAGGGTTTAGGGTTTAGAGTTTATGGGCTCATTTAAGGGTTTAGACTTCAGGGGTTCAGGGCTTCAAAAACCCTTTCAGGGTCTAGAATTCAAGTGCTTAGGGCTTCCAGGGGTCAGGGGCCCTTTAAAGGTTTTGGAATTCAGGGGTTTAGGGCTTCAGGGGCTCTGAATTCAGGGGGTTTAGGGCTTCAGGCTTCGGGGGTTTTGGAGGTTTGGGGCGCAAAGTTTAGGGTTTCGTGAAGTGGCTGAGGAAATCCTAAACACAAGCCTGTAGGGTGCATTGCAGGGACCTTCAAAATTAGAGCCGGGGGCTGCGGTACAAAAAAAAGCTGTGAGCATAAGGGGACTACAATTCAAGGGGATACTGCTCTACTAGTACCACTTCTTCCGATCCCTATAGAAGGGGCACCAACAAACCCAAAACCTTAAACCCTAACCCCTAAACCCTAGACCTAAACCACTAAACCCCCCCCCCCCTAAACCCCTGAACCCCTAAACCCTAAACCCTAAACCCTGAGCGCATAGAAGCCCCCGGCAATCTGGTGGCCCCGCCGGGCGCAGAGATCGCGGCTTCACGGGCGTGGCTTTGGAATGGCCCAGGGCCCAGCCTACCGTAAGCTTAGCCTTACGAAACCCTGCGCCATATATGTATTAGTATGATCAGTATTGCAATCCTTCTTCTTCTTCTTATTGTTATTGCCATTATTGTGATTATTATTCGTAGTAGTATCGTTACTATTGCAAAGAGCCTTACGAAATCCTATGAAGCCGCTACAAAAACTAACAGCACCCTTCTAAAAACATGCTGAGACTACTTGCTCAGATCCTTTCTGCGAAAGAAAGAGCTCAGCAGCCACAACCCGAAGACCCGAAACCAAAGACCCCTAAGCCCTAAACCGAAGACCCGAAGACCCTAAACTCCCTGAAACTCCACAGACCTCCCAGGTCAAAAGGCTTCCCCACTCTGAGGCTTTAACCAAGTCCAAACCGTAAGCCCTGAAACCCTGTTGAGCGCATGGAACCCCAAATGCCTGCCATGAAGTGCCTAGAAAGCATGGATACCTCGTTCTTGAGCCCAGGCCAAGGCGACGTATGTGGGAGGGATGAATATCCAGCCTAATTAGAATAGCCCGGTTCCTTTGTAAGGACCCATACGGTCTCTTCAGCTGTTAAGGATGTTATAGGGGTTTTAATAGCGGGGCCTTCATGACTTTCAATAGGATATATTGTACCAAATTGTCTTATGGACTATTTTTACTTGATTATTAAACTGGGGCCTCTGCAGCAGACTTTAACCTTTTCAGCGGGGGTACCGGGCCCTACATGTGGACTGAACATAACTACAGCAATCAGTCTCGCGACCCTATACACGACCCGTGCCTCTATTGCTGAGCCAATTTTGCTATAACAGTATTGCGACATATTGCGACCACGTCGCGTAGTTCCACTACTACCATCGCGCTGAGTCCCTACTTGACTGCAGTGAATTGCACGGATGATTTCCACGCTCACCTGCAGCCTGCTGGATGCTCTCCAAGAATTGCGGGAGTGCTTTCACTGTGGGGGCTACTAGAAAGGTACTATGCTGAGGCGTATTGTATAGACACCTGATTAATAGCCCTAAACCCAAACCCTGTGAACCCTGAAACCCTAATCCTATGAACCCTAAACCTAAACCCTATGAACCCTGAAACCCTAACCCTATGAACCCTGAAACCCTAACCCTATGAACCCTCTGAACCCTAAACCCTAAAACCAAACCCTATGAACCCTGAAACCCTAACCCTATGAACCCTGAACCCAAAACCCAAACCCTATGAAACCTGAACCCAGAACCCAAACCCTATGAGACCTACTGAACCCCGCTCGTTCACGGCCATGACCTTTGGGGTCCCTGCGAAATTCCTTATGAGGGGTTTAGGGTTTGGGGTTTAGGGTTTAGGGGTTTAGGGGTTTAGGGTTTAACTACCATCTGCGGTGACATTCCCTTTTCTTCCTGAGGCATAGAGATGCAGCTCTGGTGGGACACGGCCGCGTTAAAACTCCCGGGAAAAGCCTTGGCACTCTCTTCTCCTCGGATTCAGTGGCACTGTAGGACCGGCCACGGATCACGCCGGAACCTGTAAAAGGGCCATTAAGGGAATCTCTGCAACTGGGCAGTTTGGGGATATCTATTCTTGGAAGGCCCTTCTCCTCCCTTAAAACCGTCAGAATATTCACCCTAAACCCTAAACCCTAAACCCTACACCCTAAACCGGGGCTAAGAAGTTTGAGTTTAGGGTTGCAAGTCTCTGCATGCCCATCCCATGCCGACCTTTCGCTTGAGGATCCAGGGGTATTGTCTTCCATACATCCAATACTTCCCGTCAGGAGGAACATCCTGGGTTCTTGTTAGGGGATTTAATTTAAGCTACCATCAAAAAGAAACCATATTATCTACTACAGATCCCCATTATGGTAACTTAAATAAAATGCCTTAACAAGAACCCAGCATCATCCTTCTCTGAGCCCGGCTTGACAGCTTGCACAAGATGCTTGGATTCGTGGTCCTGGCCATTCAGGAATAGACCGAAAGTATCCTTACAGTAAACGGGGCCTCAAGATTCTGACTTAAGGTCTATCGGACCCGGGATCCTGAATGGTCGCAGCTTTGCTTGACAAGCTAGGGTTTAAGGGTTTAAGGGTTTAGGGGTTTAGGGTTTAGGGTTTAGAGCCAAAACAAAAATGCAGTCAAGCACCACTGCAACCGAAGTGCACTTGTTGGCTTTTGTTGTTAACTGCCCCATCGCCATTTGTCTTGGCACAGAAATGGACGATAGAAGCTAAAGCAAGCCCGCCGTTGGGTTAGAAGGGTGTTTATCTTAACCTTTTGGGCCCGAGGAAGGGGCCACTTAAAGCCGTGTCAACTGAGGGGATTGTTTCGTCATGTGGCAGGGGAGCAGACAAGCCCATGTGCGGGAGAGAAAATTTTCTTGCACCCTGTCCAAGAAAAGTCCTAGGATAATACAGGGGAAGGCTTTCTTTGGATTCTGTCCATGCATGCTCAATGAAAGTGGGGACCGCAAGGGCTGCCCAGCACGCGGAAAGAGCCCATATGCGACCGGAACGGACGGAACGACAGAGGAACGGCCTCGCCGATGGACGGACGGACTTCACCGACGGACGGACGGACGGGCGGACGGATGGACCGATGGGTTTATCGATGTCATGAAGTTTTATTCAATGTCCGATAGGAGGCAAGGGTCGAAGCGAATACATTTTTCGATGGCGTGAGATGTTTTTTAACTGTCATCTTATGATAATAGAGTATTTAAGTGTCCTTCTGTTGATAATAGAGTAGATACGTAGTTTTTGATGTCCGAGAGTCGTTTTTCGACGTGCGGGCGTGCAACCTCCTCATACTGCTCCCATGGTATGCTGCACGTGACCTAACGAGTGCAAAGCTTTTTGGGCGGTCCTTAACACCAAGCTTCCAGCCTGTTGGCCATTCATGGCCGTCTGGTAGTTTGCGCGTAAAACCTGCCGAAAGCCACCGATCACAGACAGTAAGCACAGATGCCCTGCCGCCCAGCCTCAACCCTTGGCACTTTCCTTGAGCTGTACCAATATAACCCTCAATACTACCGCGTTTTTGTCGCACCCAAGGTGCCTTCGTAGAAGATGACGCCGGGACCATCTCGCTGCTTATACTTGGGCTTGCCATTCCAAGTTCCACCTTCAACGTACTCACCGTCGAGACGCTGGGGCTGAGACTTCATGTGGGCCCATGTCACCACATACGTAACAGGCTTCGCCTTGCAGGCGTAAGAAGGCCAGATCTGTGTAAACGTGAAACTAGGTTCTGAACGGAGCAAACTGTTCGTGGGGGCGCTGAGCAGTTGAATTGACCCCTGCGGAACATTGCGGAACTCAAACTGCTTCCTTGCGCTATGCCTGAAACCCCAGGACTGCCAAACAAGGAACGGAATCTGCCGCAACCAGTGTAAAAGGAACCTCTAGTCGAAGCCCCACATACGCCAGGAGCACCCACCCCTCCGGGTTGCACACCACACCGTTACAGTAGCATGCTTGGACCCAAGGCATGGCACTCTGGCGGGAGCACGCTTTTGGGAGGTGGAAAGAACGGGACTGTGGTGGGAGGACGAGTCACAATCTTAGGGTTTAGGGTTTTTAGGGTTTAGGGGTTTAGGGGTTTAGGGGTTTAGGGCTGGGAGCCCGACCGCTGTATGTCCAAACAAGGGTTTAGGGTTTAGGGCTTAGGGCTGACTAGGGTTGCTCAAACGCTCAATCTTAGGCCGCACCTCGAGCGCCCTAAACCCTAAACCCTCAACCCTCAACCCTAAACCCTAAACCCTAAGCCCAAAACCCTAAACCCTCAACCCTAAACCCTAAAGCTTTGCTGCGTGAACGCCTCGGGGCGAGATCGAGGCTCCCCCTGCCCTTGTCTTGGGCGCGGCTTCCTTCGGCGACCTTAGATTCTAGAGGATTGCTTCAAGAAGCCTAAACCCCTAAACCCCTCAAACCCTAAACCCCTAAACCCCCCAAACCCCTAAACCCCTTATGAGAAGCCCCCGCCTGCATCTCGTACTGGCCCTTGGGGTCGCTGGGGTAGAAGCCGCGGAGGCCGAAGTCCCCGGGCTTCCGGTCCTGGGCTTAGGGGAAGTCTTTGGGGCCCTGGGCTTTAGAGGATTTTTAAAAAAGGGGTAAGATAGGGATCTATAAGGGTTTAGGGTTATTACAAAAAGGGTAGGATAGGGATCTACAAGGGTTTTAGGGTTTAGGGGTTTAAAGCTTAAGGTTTAGGGTTTCGAGCTTAGGCTTTGGAGCCTGGAGTTTAGAGCTTGACGCTCCCAGTTTAAGGCTTCTGAGCATGGGCTTGGGGCTTAGAGCTTGAAGTTGGGGTTCAGGGTCGAGGTTGTGTGAGACTTGCTCAATCATTGTGGAATGCTAACTTCGTCTCTGCTTTGGGAAAGGCTTGGACAGGGGATGTCGTGGTGGCTTGCATGGCTTGGGACTTTGAGAGGCTTTAGGGGAATCAGGGTGTCCAAGCTTTGGAGGATTCGTCCGTGCAGGCTTCTTTCAACGAGGCCGTAGTTTGAGAACACCGTGGCATATCCTGAACCCCACCTTTGACTTCAGATAAACCTCAACTTAAACTCGAAACCCCTAACCCCTAAACCCCAAAAACCATAAACTCTAGACCCCTAAAGCCTAAACCCTAAACCCTAAACTCCAAACCCCTAAACCCTAAACCCTAAAACCCCCCATCGTCTAACTGGCAAGGAGCCGTCTTGCCCTCACGCATGTTCACGTAAGCGAAGAGGCCCAGAACCTCGCTTCAGGGCTCAGGGCTTTCGAGTTTTTAAGGACTTTAGGGTTAGGATTTAGGGGGACTTTAGGGCTTTGGGGCTATAGAGATTGTAGGGCTTTAGGGTTTCAGGGTCTTGGATGGTTAGGGCTTTAGGGCTTTTCGGTTTGGGGGGCTTCAGCGCTTTGGGGGCTTCAGGGGTTGTCCCCGCTGCTTGAAACCTCAAAATAAGGACTATACCGACTATACCCCTTCATGCAGCACCCTAAGACTCGAAAGCCTAAACCCTAAACCCTAAAACCCTAAACCCTAACCTTCTAAACCCTAAACCTGCATAGGGCTGCACCTCCAAGAGGCCGCACCAGATGAGGATCCTTGGATGGGCATCGGTGGCTTTGCGCTGCAATTTTGCTTGTTGGAGAAGGGGGGAGTTGGGTTGTAGGATTTCAGGGTTTGGAGTTTGGAAAATTTGAGGCTTGAGGCTTGTGCGGCTTAGGACTCATGGTGCCGGGTCGGTTGGGTTTGGTCCTCGGAGGTTCAAAGCCTACGCCCTAAACTCCTCGACAGAATCAGAACCGCTGTATTCAAAAACACCCCAGCAAATCCCAACACCCACCTCCCTTGGTTACTGCCTGAGCACCACGTAGGTCCAAACAGAAGGGCCCAAACCTAAACCCTGAAACCCCGTAAGCCACCAAAACACCTATCCCTACACCTACACCCTAAACCTAAACCTCATGCGCTCCCAGCGCGCACAGGGTGCTAATCAGGAATTCCATTTTATCGGTAGTCCGACATTATGTGTCGCTCTGTTGAGCATCTTGGCGTGCTTCTCGCTTGGATGGTCGGTCAGCGGACGTCTTGCATAAACCCTAAATCCCCTAAACCCTAAAACAGCAAGAAAAAGGGGCCCCCCCGGTCCCGATCAGTATCAGCCGGGTCTCTGCGGCATTCCTCCGAACTTGACCATGGCGTCGTGCGCCTTTAAGGTGACTCTTACCGGAGCGCTGCTGGATCCCTTCACGGAGTAACGGAACCCGTTAACGAACTCTTAGAGGACCTTCTTAAGAAGCTGAAGGCTTGAGGGCCTTTCGGGCTTAAGATTTGAAGGCTTCACGCTTAGGGTTTAGGAAAAAGGGGAGTCGCGCTTTTTCCTTCGGGCTTTCGGGTTTGGGGCTTAGGCTTTGGGGAGTCAGACTGGGTGCTTTCAGGGTCTGAGGCCGGGCTTAGGGGTTTAGGGCTGTAGGGCTTAGGGTTTTCAAGCGGTTTCCGGACTTTCGAGTTTCAAGAAACTGGTTGGCTTCAACCCGGCATCGAAACGATCCGAATCCCCAGACCTCAGCCCAAATTCATGCAGGGGCCTCCATGATCAGAAGAGGGTCTGGGGGTTTAGGGCTTAGGGGGTTCGGGTTTTAGGGTGTGCTACACTATAGCAGGCAACCGATTGTAAAAAAACCCAGACCTCTCTAATAATTCCCAAAACAGGACCTCGATGGTAGAGACCTGGAAGGCGTCACCCGGGACGCGCAGGCCTGAGTTCTCGAGGTGCCGGATTTCGGTCGCACTGACCCCCCGGTAAAAAAAGGGCCGAGGGTTGAGGGCTCAAGATACACTCCCATAGAATTTCGAATCCCCCTGGACTTTGCAGGTAGGGGTTTAGGGTTCAGGGGTTAGGGGTTTGGGGTTTGGGGTTAGGGGTTAGGGAGGCTGTTGAAGAGCCTTGGCCGACGGTTCCCCTCTTCAGCCCCCTCTGTTTAAAAAGACCTCAAGGATGAGAAAAGCCCGCAGCCTCGAGGTGCACACTTTCTTATTCGACGCGTTGGGTGCGTAGACCCTTCTGCAGCACATCGCACCCCAAAAAGAAGCACCGGTGTCCAAGGGCTGACGTGGTCACGTTACAATCCTCCGTGGAAGTTCGCAGAAACCTAGCGTGGGCTAAGGGCTTGGGGTCATCGGGGTACGGTTTAAGACTTAGGACTTATTGGTTAAGTCACTACATAAAAGCTCCCCGGGCCAAAGTGCCCAGGTCGGTGGTGATCCACCCAACAGTCGCAAGCATCGCCACTCTGCCGTGCTTGAGCTCCGCCTGCACCGGCTTTCAGGGTCTAGGTGGGCTGCTTGTTTAGAGGGAAGGACGAGTGACAAAAGCTTTTAGCCTTTACCCCTATACCCTGAGCCTTTACCCCCCGCTACCCTAAACCCTAAAATCCCTGCGAGATCTGATCACGAAAGCCTCGAAGCAGATGGGCGCCCCGCCTCACGGAGCCAGCCGATCTCGAAGGCCAGGGAGAAGCCCATGGGGTCGAAGCCCTCCTCCTCGCCTTCGAGGTCTATAAGGGTTTAGGGTTTAGGGGGTTTAAGTGTTTAGGGTGTAGGGTATGGGGAGGACGGGGGAATTCTCTCAAGTCTCAGGGCTTCTGGTCCGCGGTTCCTCGGTGTTTCTTGGGAAGCTTTGTCGGGCTTCAGGGGTTTTTGTCAGGGCGACGGCTTGGCTCAAGGTGATGGCATGCATTTTCTATATATATATATATTGTTTTTTGTTTTCTTCTTTTT